AAGCAAATGTAATTTCCCAGCAACGTTACAAAACTGAGCCGCAGTGGGGAGAAGCCTGCCTTGCCAGCTGCAGAAACCAGCATGTAAACCTGGAGCGTTCAGGTGTCCGGAAATCCCCACTGAGATATGAAGTTGACGGCCCTGAGGGAGTCACCCAGAAGTTTCTAAAAAGATAAAGGAGAAGGGGTTACATGATCCTGGGCAAAAAGAATGTGACCACCTCACAGGAGTTCAGTGCATCCCTGAACATAACAGGACCCACCTTCTTCCTCCTCCATCCGTGTACGGAACCTGTGGGTGTGGGCTCTGTGTGTAGCCATTCGAGCAGCTGAAATAATGAACCCACCTTTACTACATCTGTGGGCATTTTAACCCTAAGATAGTGTACAAAGTGCCACTTTGTGCCCTTTTCCCCCAATATTTAAAATGAGGTATTTAGTAATAGATCATCATGTAGGTTCTGATTTCTGCAATGCTGCAGAAACATAGTCTAGAAGACCAGGTACTGAGGCTGAAGCGTAAACACATTCCAATTTGAGATTTAATGTGTAGTTTTTAATTTAATATTTTTCTGTTTTTTAAATTTAATATTTAATAATTTTAATGCACACTTTTAGCTACTGATACATAATATATCAACAGCTAAAAGTATGCATTAAAAAATTATTTGGCTTCCCAAGCACTGCATTTCAATTATAGCAAATTGCCCACAAACTATAGATGATCCCAATTATAAAATGGCATAAAGTTCTTTGATGAGGCTCAGCCCCATGACTCTCAGGGAAACTTCCACAAATTTCAGCGTAACATTACCTCAAATAACGTCCCTGTTTCGTAACAGCTGCATACGGTCTGCAGAAAATGAAGGAATGAAAGAACCCCAGAAGGAGAAAAGATCAAGATTGAAAGGAGATCATGAATCATCTAGATGGATACAGAAACACGAGCAGAGTCACTAGAGAAATCCATTTCATGCAGTGGCCCACTCCTCCTGAATCAAAGTTATTTTCACTAAGGCAAACTTCTCATACAGAGCCCAAGCACCTCAGAGTACCTCCCCTCCTCTGCCCAATCTAATTCAAGACACTTATCTCAGTGTTCCCTGGAAAGTGTTTTTCTGTCCCAACATCTTTGCTCAAGCACTTGCCTCCAGTTGGAAAGCCCTTTCCCTCTTTTCAGTCTCTGCCTATTGAAATTCTATACCATCTTTCAAGGCATCTCTTCCTAAAGTTGTCTTGATTCCTAAATCAGGTCATCTCCTGCTTCATATCACTGATTTTACTTTCTTCTTGAGTACTATCATATATGGTAAGCTCCCACTCATCTGCACTAGGCTGTGGTGGGTGCTGATCACGATCACCAAGCTCACCCTGCTAGGCCTTGAACAGACTGGTCATCATTACAGAGCTCCAGCAGGCCTGTACTTGTGTAATGCCTACTCATTCTTTCATAATCTACAATGAATATGGAGCTGGTGATGGAGTAAGAACCGTACTTGGAACCTGATTGTTAGATCCAGGAGACAAAGCTCGTGAAAGGAAGTTTTTGCAATTCTAGGGGGGTAACAATGCTGTTGCTTAAGAGCTGGGTGACGCACCATGCAGGGCTTCCTGGGAGCAGACAGGACCTCATCATGAACAGACAGAATACAATGTCTCCAGCCAAGCTCACCAGACATCCCCTGGCCTTTTAGCAAAAGGTCCATCTTCCCAGTACATGTGGCTAAAAATGTATCCTTTGCACTTATCACAAGTTCTAAAACTCTAAGATTTATGGGTGGGAGTTTTCATTTTGCCAAACCTCCAGGCCAGTCCTCTGTGTGTAGTATGGACTCAAAAGTGCCTAAAATTTAAAGTAGTTTTTCCTCAAGTAGGACAGTTCTCTGACATCCCCATGATTACTGATAGCATCATACAAAATAAGAAAAATAAAAGAGAGCAAACTACATATTTAAAAAAAATACTTAGACTGTATTTAAGTGCATAAATGTCTGGAAAAGACAATAAACTGCAACTTTTGGTTATCTTAGGGAATGGACCCCTGCAGGCTTTCTCTATTTACTTTGCATGTATTTTAACCCAGATAATTATAATACAATTTGACTGAAAATTTTTTAAGAGAAAAAATATTACAATACAGAGTGTTAAATGCAATCCTATGGTAAGTGCAAAGATAGCCCTTGAGTATAGGAAAGTATAGAGGAAGGGAATCCTTACTTCCTCTATGGAGGGTTGTGAAGTCTTTCTTGAGGAGGTGGCAGTAGCCGAATATAAAGGAGAAATAGGTCATTTCAATCATAGTGTTTCTTACATAACTGATTTACTCTGTAACCCGTTACCACTTTCCCAACCTGCCCCAACCGGCCTCCTCTCATTCTAGACTGTTGATTCTAGACCCTTTTCTAGGCTGCCTTGAATCCAAGTTAACTTTGCAGGTAATTTTGCTGGGTCTCCCCAACCACTCCGTGATTTTTTTCTCTGTGGGGAAAAAAAAACAAGTTCAGATCCATCTCTATGTTCCCACCACCCAGAACTCTGCCTGGCCTTGAAGAGTGCAATATATATTTATACTGAATTATACTGAATTAAAGGAAAGGAGGCATTTCAGTCCATAAACACGAGTTTAATTAGCCTTTGGCGTCCTGTAAGGAAGAAATAACCAAAAAGAATTCATTCCTGAGATTGTAAAAAGCGAAAGACACTCCTGGCGACTTGGAGTGCTGTGGGTGAGTCCCAAGGAGGCTCAAGGAAGGGCTGAAAACGGAAGACTCAAGCCTTTTTTGCCGGGATCAGGGGACAGTGCCCCGACGCCCCCAGAGCTGAGGGCGACGCCAGCAGGGGGAGCAGGTCGGGAGAAAGGGTTCTCTGTCCATTCACCCCCGGGCAGCCGCCTGCTCTTCCCAATGGCTTCCGCCGGGAACCTCGCCCACCCTTGCCGGACACGATCGTACTTACGTATTATTTATGTTAAAAGTATTATAAACCTATTACAGTACAGTACTATATACCCAATTGTGTTAGTTGGGTACCTAAGCTAATGCTGGACTTAACCAACGTGCTCCGGTTTGTATGTGGGGGACTTACTTGTACTCCAGACAGCACCAGGAACTGGAGGAGAGCATCGCAGGCGCCAAGAGGCGGCTTCCAAGCCAGGCATAAAGCCTCTGTGCGCTTCCTCCCAGCAGCCCGCCAGGAACGCACAGCCCAAACAAAACTTCCTGCTCCAGAACCCTCCGCCCCTACACCTTAAAAACTCCACAGGAACACACGGGTGTCCCTCCAGAAAGTAAACTCTCCCTTGTGTGGGCAAAGAGCCCACCTGGCATTGCGGGGAATTACTTGCGTCAGGTCAGGAACCAGCGGGCGTGGCCGCTGCGCTCCGCCACCCCACTAAGAACCGGGTTGGGACCCGCCTGCCCCCCGGGATCAAACCTACTTCCATTTCAGCTGCCAATCGGCCCTCGGCCACCGCTCAAAAAAAACTGCCGCCGACTACCCTCCCGACACTCCAGTCGCGCAAGATTCCCAGCGGGCAGGGAGCAAGGGGCACCCAGCCCCTGCGGCCCTGCAGGTGGATTCACCTTCGAGAGCGGGTGCCAGGTAGTAATACTGTTAAATGAAGTGTAAATGTCAGTTACAAACAAATGTAAAACAAGAAGTCGTTAGGAAAAGCCATTTTAATCAGGACGTCCAACCCAGAAGCTGTAAGTAAAATAAGTATTAATATTAAAAATGCAACTTCTGTAGGGCAGACACATTTAAAAGTCCCCTCCAGGGCTTCCCTGGTGGCGCAGTGGTTGAGAGTCCGCCTGCCGATGGACACGGGTTCGTGCCCCGGTCCGCAAAGATCCCACATGCCACGGAGCGGCTGGGCCCGTGAGCCATGGCCGCTGAGCCTGCGCGTCCGGAGCCTGTGCTCCGCAACGGGAGAGGCCACAAAAGTGAGAGGCCCGCGCCCCCCCTACAAAATTTAAAAAAAAAAAAAGTCCCTTCCAAACCCGAATCTCTCTCTCTCTCTCTTTTTTTTTTTTTAAATTTTGGAGTTGGCCCAAGTTTTTAGCCTCTCCCCATGAAACTTTTTAATGATCATTTAGGGGAACCACCGGAGGGAAATTACCAAAAATTCAGTTTCTCTTATCTGAAATCTCTTATCTGAAGCAGGCCAAGCCTGCCAGAGACCGGTCTGGTCTTAGTTTTAGATTATCATGGTCTGTCGGTGTCCAACAGGTTCCCTACTGGCACAACCTCTCGTTTCGTAAATAAATTTCAAATGAAAATATTCGAGAGCTTTAGAGTCCTTGAACTTACTTCCTGTTACCTGAACCAAAAATTTGTTCTTAATTTCAATGGTCTTTGTTCTATTGCATTCCACTGTTAATATTTTAAAAGAATATGCCCTGACCAGACATTCCCCAGACGCTTTGAAGGGGAAAAGGGTGGCAGCGGGAAGGAGAGAGAGTAAAAAAATTCTTGCCTCTCCTGTTGCTTCCGCCAAGACACACTACTGCACAAAATGTCCTAGTTCTCAACTTTGCCAAAGGAAGGCTGCCAGATCTTTTGAGCAGGTCACCCCCGGAACTGGGCAACCCTCAGGATGTTCTTAGGCAGGTCCCCGGTGTCCTTAGGCAGGACACCGGGGACTTGCCATAAAGCCCACGGCCCGTTTTCTAGTGCTTCAGTTTGGGGCGAGAGTCACTGGGTCTGGGCGATCCGCCGCTCCGACCGCACCGGAATCCCGCAAGACTCAAGCGCCCCTCCAGCGAATCGGGGCGGGGGCGCTCCGGCCCGCCTGGTGCCCGCGGGGCAAATCGGAGATAAGAGATCTGCGGGACTGAGTCACCTGCCAGAAGTCCCACCCCTCCCCTGGCCCCTGCCAGGCACCCCCTGCCCAGGCCGAGTGCAAGGAAGCGCCAATCCGGGAACGCGAGAGCATACGGGGCCTGGCGTCCGGCGGGGAGCTGGGGAGGGTGGGGAGCTGCGGGGTCCCGCGCGGGCACGTACCGTCCTGCCCGCGGCTAGGCTCTCCTTTGGCTGCGACCCGTCAAGACTTCACTCCTCTGATACCTGAAAATCGCAGGCAAGATGGAGGCAAAGAAACCGAAAGCCTGAAAGCGGATGTGTCTTTGCTGGCCAGTCCCGCATGCGCTCGCTTTGCTCACTTTGGTCTTCTCTCGTATCGTACAAAAGCTTTAACCCTCTAAAAGGTTGACGGTCTGACATTCACTGTGTTAGACCCAGAGACCCCTCCCCACTCACCAGCCCTTTGAATTGAAACACTGCCGTGCTGTTCAACAACCCGCCTGCCTGCTGTTTCCTGTTTACACCCGCTCTGACTAGGCTTGCTGTGAACTCTGGGTGTTTGCCTAAATACGCAGATCTACTTGTCACTATGGACAGAACAAACTGTGGACGCCAAGTTCTATGTGTCCAAGAGCACAGTGAGGCCAAACAAACGGAAACCTTGGAGTTTGGAGCAGAGAAAGGTTTTTGGTGAGGCCGTGCAAGAAGAGGAGGTGGCCCGTGCCCTAAAAAGCCTGGTTCGGCAAAACACTTTTAAAAGCCAAGTAGGGGGTGGAGGTGTCGCGGGATACGTGATCAGCTCTTGCACAATTCTCTGATTGGCTGATGGTGAGGTAGTGGGGTGGTGTCACAGAGGTGAACATGATCAGTCTTTAGGCTTCAGGAGGCCTGGGGCTCTGTGCTCATGGTCGTCAGTTAACATCTTCCGTTTGTTGAATGGGGGGGGGTTTCATTTGCATCTGCAAAACAACTCAGGAAATGTGCGTCAAATACTATTATCTAGGTCCTTTCAGAGAGGAGCTACAGCAGAGGACATGGCGGGGGAGGCCTGTCCCACGGGAAGGCCCCCATGGGGTCCTGCTCTTTACTGCACTTCTAGTGTTTGTTACGGATGCCTTGGAAAATAATAAAGAGCATATGTAAAAGCGCTTTATGCTTCATTCCTCATAACGACTTTCTTGTGATTTTTTTAAAGTTTCTAAACTTTTCTTAAATATATTTAAACTTACAGGAAAGTTGCAAAAATAATACCAAGAAAAATTCACCACCGCATGACAGCATGAGGAGCTCTGCTGACCCACTCCCTAATGAAACTGATGAAAATCGTTTTAAGACAAGCAAAAACAACCATTTACAGCCTTGGAAATATTCCTAAAAGAGCAAATAAATATCTATTCAAGAAAATCTAGGAAAAATTGGTAAGAAAGGCGAGAGTCTGTGGTATTTCAACCAAGCCCTCTTCCTCTCTTTGCCCTCCCAACTGCAAGGCGGAGTCCCCACTCTGTCTTTAAACCGGGAGCACTGGGCCTCCTCTTCCCAGGCTCCCAGTGGGAGGGGCAGATGTCAACAATTCTCACCCTGCCTGGCCCTGGCTACCTGATACTGAGCCTAAGTCCTGTACAAATGTGGTTGAGAGATGGAGGATTCTTTCTTCCATCCAGCCCCACTCATGCACCAGAGGCTCTACCTTGGGCTGGAGCGCTGAGAATACTGGGGTCCTAATCACCCTTACCTCAGCTGCTGTAGTAGTGGTTCAAGCCAGAAGAAGAAAGCCAAGAAAACCTCGGGCTGCTACGCATCCTCACCTAGAATTCAGCCTCTAGAACAGGGATGTGAGTCTGAGAGAAGCTTGCCATTGTTCCACCTCCTGCTCCAAAGCCCAGACTCAGTGATTGTGCCCGCCCCCCCCCCCCGCCGTGTTTTATGGATCGGTCCATAATACAGATAGCTCTTAATCTCTTCCCATAGAAACTGACTTCATTTGCAACAGAGCATGGAGAAATAACAAGCCAAAGGGTGCTCTCAAAAACCTGGAGGTTGTGGTGATAGGCAATTGGGAGGAGATTCAAGATATGAGCTAAATTGTAAACTGGCTAGTTTGCAGGAAAGAATCAAAGATAAAGACAGCTGAGGGAAGCCCTCCTGGGGTAAGACAAATATTAGACACTGACCTCATAAACTTTTGCTTCAAAGGGGCCAGATTTTGAGTAGATTTATTTGTAGAACAATATATGTACAAGCAAATAACAATAAGGAGGTTGGGGTGGGTGGAGAGGGTGGAGGGGGTGGGGAGTGGGGAGGAAACAAGTACCCAGAGTTGCTACAATACATTATCTAAAATGTCCAGTTTCCAACAAAAAATTATGAGGCATGCAAGCAAACAGGAAAGTATGACCCATACATTGGAAAAATAGCAGGCAACAGAAACTGCTTTACAAGCAACAGGATGTTAGATTTATCAGAAAAAAAAATTCAAAGTATTATAGCTATTATAAACATGTTCACAGAACTAAAGAAAAACATGGTTAGAGTATGATGACCATGTCATACCAAATAGAACATATCAATAGATATTCAGCCCCCTAGAACAGGGATGTGACTCAGAAACCATAAAAATGATCTAAATAGAAACTCTGGAGTTGAAAAGTACAATAACTGAAATAAGTTCATTAGGGGCTTAACAGGAGACTTGAACTGGCAGAAGAAAGAATAAGCTGACTTGAAGGTAGATGGATAGGGATTATGCAAGCCAAAGAACAGAGAAGAATGTAAAGAGCCTCAGAGAAATGTGGGACATCACTAAGCACACGAACATGTGCATAATAGGAGTGCTAGAAGGAGAGGAGAGTGAAGAAGGAGCAGAAAAAATCCAAAGAAATAATGGCTGAAAACTTTCCAAATTTATGGAAAAACTATAACTTACATATCCAGGAAGCTCAACAAATTCCAAATAGGATAAATAAATGCAAGAGATCTACAGACACAATAGAGAAAAAATGCTGAAAGTCAAAGACAGGAAGAAATCTTGAAAGCAGCAAAAGAAAAATGACTCATTACTTACAAATAAATGCCAGTAAGATTAATAACTGACTTCTCAGGAAAAGCAAGAGAAACCAGAAGGCAATGAGATAACATATTCAAAGTGCTCCATCCAAGAAACAATCTTATCAAAGTAAGTTGGTGAAATAAGGTGAAATTTTCCCAAATAAACAAAAACTGAGTGAATTTGTGCTAGCAGACCTGCCTCACAAATACTAAAGGATGTTCCTCAGGTTGAAAGCAAATAACCCCAGACAGTAATTCAAATTCATACGAAAAAAAAGAAAAGAACATCAGAAAAGGCAGTTATAGACTGGGATTGACACGTATACATTATTGGTACTATATATAAAATAGACGACTGATGGGAACATACTGTACAGCACAGGGAACTCTACCTAATGCACTATGGTAACCTAAACGGGAGGGAAGTCCAAAAGGGAGGGGATATCTGTATGTGTATGGCTGATTCATTTTGTTGTTCAGTGGAGGCTAACACAACATTGTAAAGCAACCATAGTCCAATAAAAATTAATTAAAAAAAAGAAAAGGCAGTTATATAATTGAGACAGTATAAATGAACATTTTTCCTACTCAACTGATTTTAAAAGCAATTGTATAAAATAATATAATGGATTCTTGTGCCTATAACATATAGAAATTAATATATGTGTACTGGTAAAAGGAGAGCAAACTAAACCTAAAGCAGCCAGAAGGAAGAAAATAATAAAGATTAAGGTGGAAGGGGCTTTTCCCTGGTGGCGCAGTGGTTAAGAATCCGCCTGCCAATGCAGGGGACATGAGTTCGAGCCCTGGTCCGGGAAGATCCCACATGCCGCGGAGCAACTAAGCCTGTGCGCCACAACTTGAGCCTTCGCTCTAGAGCCCACGAGCCACACATACTGAGCCCACGTGCTACAACTACTGAAGCCCCCGCGCCTGGAGCCTGTGCTCTGCAGCAAGAGAAGCCACCAGGATGAGAAGCCAGCACACTGCACGAAGAGTAGTCTCCACTCACTGCAACTAGAGAAAACCCACTCACAGCAACAGAAGACCCAGTGCAGCCAAAAATAAATAAATAAAATTTTTTAAAGGATTAAAGTGGAAATTAATAAAATATAGAATAGAAAAACAATAGAGAAAATCAATTAAACCAAAAGCTGATTTCTTGAAAAGGTGAACAAAATTGCAAACCTTTTGCTACATTGACCAAGAGAAAAAGAAGACTCAAATTACTAGAATCAGAAATGAAAGAGAGAGAATGAACGAATTGGGAGATTGGGACTGACATATATACACTAATATGTATAAAATAGGTAACTAATAAGAACCTGCTGTATAAATAAATAAATAAATATAATTTAAAAAATAAATTATATATTTAAAAAAAGAAGAAAAAGAAAGCGGGTACATTACTACTGACCCTACAGAAATAAAAAGGACTTTAAAGGAACACTATGAATAATTGTACTACAACAAATTAGATAACCTAGATGGACAAATACCTAGAAAGACACAAACTATCAAAACTGACTCAAGAAGAAATAGACAATTTGAGTACACCTATACAAAGTGAAAAAATTTAAAAATCTATCCACAAAGAAAAGCCCAGGCCCAGACAGCTTCATTTGTAAATTCTACCAAACTTTTACGGAAGAATATTCTTCACAAACTCTCAAAAAACAGAAGAGGAGTGTGTTAGTTTGCTAGGGTTGCCATAACAAAATACCACAGACTAGGTGACTTAAACAACAGAAATTTATTTCTCACCATTCTGGAGGCTAGAAGTTCAAAGTCAAGACATCAGTAAATTTGGTTTCTTCTGAGGCCTCTACCCTGGACTTTAGATAGCAGTCTTCTTGCTGTGTCCTCACATGGTCTTTCCTCCGTATGCACACATCCTTAGTGTCCTTCTATGTGTTCTCTTCTGATAAGGACACCAGTCATATTGGATTAGGGCCGACCCTAATAGCCTCATTTTAACTTTGCCTCTTTAAAGACCTTATCTATGACTACAGTAACATTGTGAGGTACTAGGAGTTAGGACTTTAACGTATGAACTGGGGGTAGGGGTAGAGGGGTAGGACACAAGTCAGCCCATAAAGAGAAAGGAACACTCCCCAACTCATCAGGCCATTATTACTATGATACCAAAACCAGACAAAGATGTCACAGGCAAAGCAATATCTTGTGCATGACCAATATCTTGTGCATGTGGATGCAAAAAAGCCCTCAACAAAATACTAGCAAACTGAATCCAGCAACATGTAAAAATAATTATCCACCATAACCAAGTGGGATTTATCCCAGGAGTGCAAGATTGGTTTAACGTCTGAAAATCAATTAATGTAATACATTATATCAATAGAATAAAAAATAGAATTCACATGATCATTGCAATAGACACAGAA